GGACCGATGCTCTGCGCATGTGGAGATGGGCGACGGCGTGGCAGGCCGGCCCGAGGGATCGACCTCAACTGGCTCTTCACTTCCCACCGCGAGATATCGCGGGCCAACTGCGGCGCGCGCGGACGCCGCCAAACCTGCCGCCGCGCTGCCGCCCGCAGTTGTCGCAGATGGGACTTCTGGAATACGCGCCGACCTCGACTGCCGCGCCGAGAGCCCAGCGCCTCGATCTCGGACCTGGCGCGGCCGATGTCCTGCGTCAGCGCGACTCTGGCGAGTGGCATTCTCAATTTCTTTTTGGCCGTCTTACTTTCGCCGCTAGCGTTGGAAGACTCGAAAAGGGAACCTCCTGACTCTGGCTCGGCAGGGGCAGCTGGCAAACCATCGCGAATCGCGCGCGTGAGCGGCCTCGCTACTAGACGCGCCGCCTTCCCCGCTGGAAATATCCATCCCGCTGCGCACTCCACTGCGTTGCCTGGACATGCCCATCCCGCTGCCGCGCGCTGCGCTGCCCGCGCTGGAAACGCCCGCCGCCCCCGCGCGCCGCGCTGCCGTCGCCCCCGCACCTGACGGCGCCCCCCAAGGAGCATCGCTGTCGGCGCCAACACCACCAGAACACGTTCGCGGATCTCCCCCAGTGCTGCGAGGGAGCACCCGTCGAATCCAACTTGCCAGGTCGGCGTTTGGAGCGCCTGGTTCATGCGCCCTGCAAATCCTCGAGCTTCTTCTTGAACTGCCCCTGGTGCCTGCCAAATGAATTAACTACAAGTGCTCTTGCTCGGCGAGCGGGGAGAGAGCGCGCGCGCGCCCCCCCCCCCCGCCCTCGCGCAGATCATCGCCCACTCCGCCGCCAGGGGGGGGGGGGGGCCGGCAGCAGCGACGGCATCCTGATCCCCTTGCATCTTAGCTGGCATCGAGGACACTCGCCGCGTATGAAGCGCTGCTCTCCGCTTGCCCTTCTTGAGATATCCATATGCGCCCATCGGTAGGTCCGCTTGCTCGAGCTGAAGCAACGCTGCGAACTCAAGCGCTGATGCGGGCGCTGGCGTGACTGGATCCAGCGACGCCGTCTTCGCCATCTTCGAAAAATCAATATCAGCTCCGCGATCAGAGCTGCCTGTGCGCTGGCCTCGGCCTCTCGCCATATGTCCGACTCTTTGAGGCCATCGTGCACTTGTCGTCTCTCACCCAAGTCTCTTTGCATTGCCGAGACTGATCTGTGCCCGAAATATATCCCGCGGTGCCCGGCGGCGCGCAGTCTGCGGCGATCATTGCTTCTCGTGCCCCACCCGCAACTCACTGGCCCGGCCCCCAACGGGCTTGCGCACCGAGGTCGTCGGCGCCCCCGGATTTTCTGGGCGCCTCCGCGCGCTCGGCAACCTCTGCCTGGATCATCTGGCTCGGCTGACTCAGACCCCCCTCATCTGCTGCGTCCTGACTGGAGGCCGCCGCCAACGAAGCCGCGGGGATGGAACTCCCGCGAAGCGTCTCTGAGCCTGACACTGCCATCTCTCCTTGTCCTCGCGGATGGATTGGCGGCCTTGGGCGACTTGGCGATCTGTGCCTCGAGTATTTGAATCGTCTCGCTGAGTGCCGTGTCCTGTCTGCCCTCGCCGCATCCTCCGCCCATTTCTTTGCCCTTGCCTTTGCCCGTGATTCTCATGGCCCCCCAGTCTGCCGCCTGCTTATTTGCGCGGATCTGCGTCCGCTGGGGCGCTGGGTCGCCGCAGTTGCACGCGACCATCGAAGCTCCATTGCGAGCCGCCAACACCTGCTGGGGCCACGCTACGGGCCGAACTCGGTTGGGTCACTTTGGCGCACAAAGGCTGGAATGGATGCGCCTAGCACTCTGGCGCCGACGCCGAAGGCGCGACCCTCGCGCAGTGCGGCGCAAGCTTCGGCGTTGAAGTTGAAATCTGGACGCAGACCAGCGGCGCCGATTCCCTGCTCGCATTCAATTACCGCGAGCCAACGTGGCCACGGAAAACGCAAGAGCAGGAAGGCCTGGGAAAGGCGGAGGAGGTGACATGGCGGAGGCGGAAACGACGGGGAAATTATCTGAATGCAGAAGTGCGCCCCCCGCTGGGGCGGGGTCGATGCTGACGATTTGCGGGCGACGCAACATCGGGGGCGCACTGCTGTTGCAAGGCCGAAAACGCTCGCACTCAAACAGGTGAACCAGCTATGCGGTGCTAGCGTCAAAGGCTGCGCTGAGGCGCGGGCGCTTCAATGAGGGTTGGTCTCTCGGGTGGGCGCGGCATCGCGATGATGTTGACACAACGGCAACAATGACGCAGCGCCGGCTGTGGTGGCGATGGCGACGATAACGGACGCGAGGTCGATGGCGGAACCGATGCTGGCAACGCCGCTGACGGTGATGGTGTCCTCGCATCGGTAATCAGGTGTTTGACAGAACTTCCGACATGCGCGAGCGGCCGACGCGCGCGACCATCCCGCACCCCGCGCGGTTGCCGCCCAACCCCCCATACCCTCCCAGCAAGCGCGCAACGGCGCCCGAATGATTTTGACACGCGCATTCGAAGGGCCCGCGTGGTTTCATGTGGCGAAAATGTACAACTCCAATTGGTTTCCAAACGAATTTGTAGAAGCGCGCCACATTCTTTGTAAGAGCAACGTTGGGCAACACCATTGCGTTTTCATATGCTTCGGGAGCCGCGATTTTACATTCTTTGAGACAACTTGGGTTTTGGAGGGATTTGTTGCATACGCGCGCGACGACGCGTTTGTGGACGTTGCCTCATTAGGCTGCGACGAATTATTTTCAAAATAAAAGCACCCTTCGAGTCACGAGTGCGCGCGTAGTACTTGTTGACAGGGATGAAAGGGGGGCGTGACCTCGCCGGGGTGGCATGAATTCGCTTTCGAAACGGGCAATGAAGCATAACCAAAGGTAAACTATCCCATCCAAGCGGGAGTGGACAATCCGGTCCTTTCTTCTTCCGAAGGGCAGAAGCTGTGTAATGTGAGCTAAAGAAATGAAAGCTGTGTGGTGTAAGCTTTGTGGTGTGAGATATGTCGTGTAAGCTTGGCGGTGCGAACTGGAGGTGAGAGCTAAGAGGTGCAATATAGATGCGATGAAACAAATTGTCGTGTAATCTCGCATACACTCTGGGCGAAGGTGGTTTCCCCTCATCCAAAATCCTTGCCCCTGCTCGGGGGGGGCCCGCGAGTGATTGGAATGGAGATTGGTGCAAGATGCATTCAAGAGTCGGTGGCGAGCGAAGGGGGGAAGTGAGAAGGAGAAGGCCTTCTCAGCAGGCCACGGGCCTTCTGAGAAGGTGTTCTATGTCAGTCGGGGAAAGCTCAGACGTTTCCGGAGAAATGCCAGGGGGGACTTCCGAACTTTCTGACAAGGTCCGCCCCTTCTCACGTCCCCCCCCTGCTCGGCGCCGGAAGAGGGCCCCAGAGAGAGCCAAACGGCTTCCCAAATAGTCGATGCTAAACACTCTCTGTTAAAAAAATAATCAAACATATTCAAAAAAGGTCAACCGTCAAAAATCAATCGTCCCCAGACTATTGTTTTGACATTTTCAAATAAGCCTTACGAGCATGGCCCAGGCCCTCGATCGCCAGCGCCCCGCGCCGCCGCAGCGCCGAGGGATCAAGGGTCGAGGATCGAGGCTCGAGGATCGAGTCAAGGGGACGTAAGACCCGGGTACGGGGGACTCGGAAATCCCCGACGAGGTCGTCAAAAAAATGACGAGGCCGAGCCTGCATTTTGACGAGGCCTCCCGCTGCAGACATCCCACGAAACTCCTCCTCGTCAAAATCCGAGTCGCGGTCGTCAAAAAACGATGGCGAACCCGAGTCCCGGCAAACCCGGGTCTTACGCTCCCCCGATCGAGGTTCGAGCGTCGAGGGTCGAGGCGCCAGGCTCGAGGACCGAGGAGGAGGAGGAGGAGGGGCGAGGCTCGAGGATCCAGGAGGGGCGAGGCTCGAGGATCGCCCGCGCCCCGCGCAAGCTCAGCGTGTGGCAGGGCCTCCAGGGCAGGTTCCTGGGGGGGGCTCCCGGTGGAGGAGGAGGAGGAGGAGGAGGAGGAGGAGGAGGAGGAGGAGGAGGAGGAGGAGGAGGAGGAGGAGGAGGAGGAGGAGGAGGAGGAGGAGGAGGAGAGGCCTCCGATGCTTCACTCGAGGCTGCGCGCAGTGAGCACGGGCGGGGCTGCGCGGAGGCAGCCCCCAGGGCTTCCAAGAAGCGCTCCGAAGGCTGCACTCACTCACTCAAGGTCAGGGCTGCACTCCAAGCCCCCAGGGTACTCAACAAGCACTCAAGGTGGGCACTCAACAAGCACGCGCGGGCTGCCTGCTGGAGACCGTCCGCCATGCCACGAGAACGGCGCCCATGCACAGTACAGTGTTAGGACTCCCTTCAGGCCCCGCTCCGAGGCGGTACTGTGCATAATTTTCCGGCTCTGAAGGCCGGCAGGTTCGTGTCGTGCCGACCCCGGCGTTGGTCCCTGACACCGCGGGAAGCATTCAACCTTGAACGATCGGTAGTTTCACCAAACGTCCGATCGTTCAACATCTACCCATTTTAGGTCGCCGGCGGCGTTCAACCTTGAATGCCCGCGCTGGGGTCGCCGCTGGTCGACACGGCGCGAACCTACCGTACCTGGGTAAATGATCGACGACACCTCGAGAGACCTCCTCCGCCTCCTCCTCCTCCTCCTCCGCCTCCTCCTCCTCCTCCTCCGCCTCCTCCTCCTCCGCCTCCATCCTCCTCCTCTTCCTCCTCCTCCTCGGCCTCCTCCTTCTCCTCCTTCTCCTCCTCCTCCTCCTCCTCCTCCTCCTCCTCCTCCTCCTCCTCCTCCTCCTCCTCCTCCTCCTCCTCCCCCTACACCAACGCGGCACGGTGCATGCAGGTCGCCCGCGGAGGCGCCGACACGGCACGGTGCACACGGGTCGTTTGCTGACATGAGCAGCCACCACGGCCTCGCCACGAGTGCAGCTGCCACCCTCCCTTCCTCCTCCTCCTCCTCCTCCTCCCCGCCCCCGGACCTCGGGCTGCTCGGTCACGTTGGCGGCGCCAGAGGGCGCCTTCTTCGACGGGCCCGCCTTCTCTCGCCTGGCGATGGACTTGCCGGCCCCAGGTCCAGAGGCAGCCGGGGGCAGTGGGGGGGATGGAGGAGGGGAAAAAGGCGAGGAGGAAAAGGGAAGAACGGGTGGGGAAGCAGAAGGATACGAAGGGACACAAATGAGGGACACGGAAGAGGACGAGGACGCGGGAGCCGCGGGAGGAGGGGAGAACGAATGCGGGGGAAAGGGGAGGAGGATCAGCACGAAGGGCACGATGAGGAGCAGGAGGAGTGAAATGGAGGGAGGAGGGTGAAGAGGAGGGATGAGGAAGAGGAGAGATGGGGTGGGAGCGAAGAGAGGGAAAGAGAGAAGGCTGAATGGCGGGATGGAACAGAGGAGGGCGGAGGGGGAGGGTGGGGAAGGCGGAAGGGGGAAGTCTCCATAGATCTCTTGAAATCTCCAGGAGCACCTCGAAACCAGCCTCTGGAAGCAGAAACGTTGAAACAGCTCGACGCCAATGCCAAACAACATCCCAACACGGGCGGAAAAACAAGCGGCAACGTCGAGGGATCGGAACCGGAGGCAGCCGCAAAGGGGCGGGAGCGGACAACATGCGAATGCACTCTCCGCCCGCCTGGCCATCCAATCGTCACCGGTCTTCCCGAAGGCCCCATCCTTCCGCTGGGCAGGGCAGGCAAAGGCTCTCCCTCGTCCTCTTCCCCCGCCCCTCCCACACCCCTTTAAGCGCATGCTCTCTCCTCCTCCTCCTCCTCCTCCTCCTCCTCCTCCTCCTCCTCCTCCTCCCCTCCGCCCCTTCCTCATCATCATCCCTCCACCGCCCGCCTCTTCCTCCTCCTGTCTCTTCCTCCCATTCGCCTCCTCCTCCTCCTCCTTCCTCCTCCAACTTCAACTAACAACTTCTGGTCGTCGCCGCCATAAAGCAACAGCAGGGTGTGTCATTCGCATGAACGGCACATCCGAACAACTCATGCTCCTGAAGTTTGGAATCCCGAACAGTGAAACGGATGGAACACAGGTCGGTGTCGAGGTGTAGCTATCGCATCGCCCTGGCGCTGCGTACAGGTGTCGTATACGCTTGTATATGCTACGCTGGTGGAAGACAAACTGTCATCAAGGCGCGTCTTTCGCCATACTTCCAAACACATCTGTTTTCCAACAGATCAACAATTACACATGTGAATAATGAACTGGATTCAAACCATGACTGTTCACCATAGAGCAGCTTGCATGTGTTTCACAAGCTTGAAGCATGTTACCCGGATGGCAACCGAACTCACTCCCGCGATGGAGTTCTAAGTTCATAAGGTGTGACGGCTACACATATGAATGGAGGGCGCTTCCACAGTGTGGCGATCGCTTGACAAGTGCTTGAACATGACGTTCCATCTAGACATTTCTGATAGTTGCGGGCATGGCGCAGGGTGGCTCCTCCTCGAGACGCAGCTCCCGACGGCTCAGCGCGCTCACGCCGCAATGAAACACAATACTTCTGTAATGGCTTGCGCAGGGATATGACGTGTGTGTGGGTGTTGTAGCATCGTTGGCGCATCCTGGGTTTACTCCAGCACTCATCCTCGTCCTCGTTGCCTCGTCTTATCCTGCCCCTCATCGCCAACTTCCTCCTCCTCCGGTTTCTTCCTGCACATTGCTCACAATCGCTTTCGTCCTCGACCTCACTGCCAACCCCTCCTCCTCTTTCTAACTATCCCTCCTTCGCCTCATCCGTCTTCCATGGTCTGTATGCTCCCTCTGCTCTCTCATTGCTCATGATCCCTCTCCCTCTGCTCGGCTTCGGGCGCAACAGCGAGTCCACAAATGCAACTGGCAACATGTGCGGGTGACAGTGTTGCGCTCTGGGCAGCTCTAGGGGTATCGTGCGAGAGCGAATCGTCGGAAGTACCCTCGGACCCGAGAACTGATTCGCTACCGCCGCCGCGGAGACATGCGTGCGGGCAATATTCATATCCATATCCAGTGCGTCTTGGACTTTCTTGGAAGGGGTCCCGCAAGGCCGAGGCGCACTGGATATGGATCAAAATTCAGCTTTTTGGAGACAGATTATGATCCATATCCAGTGCGCCTCACGTTTCTTGGGAAGAGAGTCCGAAACTCCAAGACACACTGGATGTGGATAAAGACATTGCCCGCAATGCGAGGCGAGACGGCCGAGAACAGTCGAAACGCCAGCCCGGGACCGCGAGACACGTGCCCTGCCTTGCCGTGCCCGCGCGCCGTGGCCGGGCCCTGCAACGCGGACAGTGTGCCGCGCCGTTCCATGTCCGCGTCGCGTGCTCAGGTTCCAGGATCTGGGCGTGGCTGCATTCAAGAAGCGAACCTTATACACCGATGCGTTTTTTCCCGGTCCCGCACCGAGATTCGCACAAGACACGGATCATGGTGTATACGGCATCCTGGTGTATGCATGCTTTGCTGCTTCCACGGGAAAACGGGGGAAAAAGTATACACCACACCACCCCAGCGTCGTCCTCGACCCTCAAGAAGTCCTGGGATTAAAAAACCGCCCGCCACTGGTAGTGTATATGTTCCAGTTTCCGATTCATGGGGGGGTCGCAAGCGGGGGGGTCAGAAACGGTCCCCTTTCGTGGCCCTTTCGGGTCCCTCCAGAGCCCCAGGGGGCTCGTTCAGGTGCCGTGTGGGTACCTTTTCGGACCACCCTCGCCACCCCCCCACGTATGACCCCCCATTGCGCAGCGCCCAAAAGGCTGCGAGACGTGACATGTGCCGTGCCCCGCCGTGCCTGCGCGCCATACCTAGATTCCTGCCTCCCCCCCCCCCGCAGGAGGCTCGAGACTCCAGTGGTAGATAGATCGCCGAGCAACCACGCCGCTGAAGCAGACATGGCTCTTGCTTACACCGCCAGCGGACATGGAGCCTGAACAATACTCAACTCTCCTCTGCTGCGGCCGCAGCTCCGCCTTTCGGAACTGGCAGCAGCGTTTCATCAGCAAGGGCGTCGGGGAGGACGCAAGAGGGGCAACCATTTGGTGAACAGCCTAGCCCCCTAAGACTGTCTGCGCTGCTTAGCAGTCCAGCGCTCTCCATTCGGCTGGGCATACGCGAGAAATCGTGGGGAACACAGGCGGTGACATACTGCAGTGCTCTTGCAAAACGCCACCAATATACGTCCAAAGGCGCACTAGGAGTATACATATATATATATATATGTGTATATATATATATATGTTATTATTTATTTATATATACATGTGGACGATAAGATGTGCAAACGCTGGGATCCGCGACTCCAGGAGATCGTGCTTTAGAGGTCACGCGGTGCGCAATACTTTGAATCCAGGGCCCCCTTGCGGGGCCACCAGGCTGCGAGGGTGAAAATTGAAGCTCCCTGTTCCAGTTGTAGTTTCCAATTTCCACTGTTACAATCCTGCTTTCTAGGCATCCTTGCTGTTAATTGTTGCTGTCCGCGCGAGGGGTGGGAGCCCCAACGGGATTACTGTACCACGCCCTGGGAGGGTTCTCGGAATTCCTGGGGGGGGCGTGGGACACAAAAATACTTGATATTCGTGTCCCTGGGGCCATGATGGAAATTGCACCAAATTCGCGTTCCCGAAGCCATAAACCCTCGTAGAATACGCAACATTCGCGTCCCCGAAGCCATCATCTCTCCGTAAACGTTACAATATTCGCGTCCCCGAACCCCCAAACCCTTTTATATGACATGATATTCGCGCCCCCGAGGCCATAAACCACAGTAAATTACATAACACTCGCGTCCCCAAGGCCATACACCCTTGTAAATTAAGCGATGCTCGCGTATCCGAATCCACAAACCTTTGCAAATGATGCAAACTTCGCGCCCCCGAGAGCATACACGCACGTAAATTACATAAGATTCGCATCCCCGAGGCCTCAAACCCTTGAACATCAAGCGATGCTCGCGTATCCGAATCCATAAACCCTTGTACATGACGCAATGTTCGCGTCCCCGAGGCTATGCAACCTCGTAAATGTAATATGCCACTTACCAATTGCCCTAGCATGAGAATCCGACATTGTTTCACGACGGCGCCGAGAAAATGCAACATAGCTCTGGCATGCACCATTCTGATTGAAAGGGGGCCGGCGGCAGTGGGCGAAGCCCTTCCGTAATACATGGACGAACACCGCATCGCATCCTTAGAACGATTTACACTAATGCGGGCACCCGAGGTACATTAAGTAATTGGCATACGCCTTCGATGAAACATTGGATGCACAACTGCTCGACAAACAATCCTTGCCGCCAGAGGGCACGACGGCTAGCCAAGTTGAACGCGAGATGCTTCATAACATCCAGCTCGTGCCCGATCGCTTGGGCCAAACGCTGCCTAGGAATTTCGCCGCGATCACCTCTTCAGAAAAGTTACAGTACTATGGAAGTATGGGGAGATCCATCTGTCCTCGCCCCCCTCACCACATCCTCCTGGTCCTCCGCCTCCTTCTGAGCTGCCCACCAGGCCGTCCTCCTCCTCCTCCTCCTCCTCCGCCTCCTTCGGGCCCTCTTACCCCTTCTCCCCCCCTCCTCCCCCGAGGAGGAGCAGGAGGAGCAGCAGCAGCAGCAGCAGAAGGGAGAGCAGGATGAGGAGGAGGAGGAGGAGGAGGAGGAGGAGGAGGAGGAGGAGGAGGAGGAGGAACAGCAGGAGCAGGACGAGAGGGAGCAGGAGAGGAGGAGCAGGAGGAGGAGGAGGAGGAGGAGGAGGAGGAGGAGGAGAAAAAGGGGCAGCAGCAGCAGCAGGAGGAGAAGGAGGAGGAGGAGGAGGAGGAGGAGGAGGAGGAGGAGGAGGAGCAGGAGCAGGAGGAGGCCGAGGATCAGCGGATGGAAAAGGAGGAGGAGGAGGCCGAGGAGGAGCAGGAGCAGGAGGATAAGGAGGAGGCCGAGGAGGAGGAGGAGGAGGAGGAGGAGGAGGAGGAGGAGGCCTCCCGACTCTGCAGAGACGCCCCCCCCCCTGCTCCGCGTCCTGGTACACCGTCCGCTTCCACTCGGCAGTGCGCGGGCTGTCGCCCGCCCGCACGCCGGCCAGGCGGTCGCGGTCGCTGCTAGCGCCGACGCCGGCCGCCTCGGGCCGGGCGCAGACCGGGGGTGGCTCCCCCAGGGGGAGGGGGAACGGGCGAGCGAACGAAAGAACGAACGAGTCTGTCGTCGCCGCGAGGCGGCCCTGCAGGGGCGGCAGGCGCGCCGAACGCGCTGGCCTCCGGGAAGGCGCTGGACTCTGGGAAGGCCGGGGGGAGGAGGAGGAGGAGGAGGAGGAGGAGGAGGAGGAGGAGGAGGAGGAGGAGGAGGAGGAGGAGGAGGAGGAGGAGGAGGAGGAGGAGGAGGAGGAGGAGGGGAGAGTAAAGGGTCCAGGGGGGCACTTTCTTTTTTGTTGAGCACACATGTCCCACACGTATGTATATGTATATGTATATGTATAAATATAAAATCTATTTATATATATAATATATGTGCATCTATTCCTAAGAAGCGACGTGTAATTTGTGCTTGTGTGTATGTCTCCCTCCTAGGAGGACGACGGACAGCATGAGGATTAAGCAGGAGGAGCAGCAGGAGGAGAAATCGAACAGCAGGAGCAGCAGGAGCAAGGGGAGGAGAATGGCTGCTTCGCAATCGGCACTGTAGCCGGCAGCCTCAGCGTCAGGAGGATGATGAGGAGAGATCGGGCAGATGCTAAAAAGGAGGAGTAGAGGAGCACGAGGCGGAGCATGGCAGACGGGGCGAGTGGCTCCCCGGGTGCGGGCTCCACTCCTCACTGTTCCCCCCCTCGCCGCCCCCCCCCCTCCCTGCTTCCTCTCTCCTCCTCCCCCTCGCCTCCTCCTTCTCCAACGTCTTGAACGAATGAAAACGTTCCCCCCTTTTCCCCATTGTGAGGAAGCTGCGTCCGGGCTCCGGGACCATCTGGGGCCAGTACGCGGCCACTGGGACGGTGACCATGTCGAGAGGTTCGGCGGTCACAAGTCGGCAAAGCAAAGCATCGACGAAGCGCTACGGCAGCGGGGGGGGTAGCTGGTCGGCTTGGGCCGGCGGAGCGGAGGCTGCTGCTGGATGAGGCTGCGCGGAACGCCCAAGCCAATCATTGCGGTTCTTGCTCAAACTTGCGCGTCTTGGGCTGCGGAGCAGAACAGGACAGAACAAAGCAGAACAGGCTTAGGTCGGCTCGAAATAACGGCTGGCCGTCTCTGGCCAACGTGTGGCCAACGAAGCCTCCAATGACCTCCCGAGGCCTCAGGGGACATCTGGAGGATGTATCGGGCGTCGCGGCCATTTCAAAGCGTTCCAAAACGCTCTTATAGCGTTCCGGAACGCTCTGGAACGGATTGATCCTCGTCCTCGTCCGAGCCCCCCCTCCCCCCAGTGCTCGGAATTGGTGGTGGCTCTGATGAATTGCACTTCGCACTTCGATCGCAAGCTTCCCCTGCGCGTGCCAGCTTTGATCTGTTTTGGGGGAGATGGCTCTCTACCCCGTGGGCAAGTGCTCACGCGCCTGGCCCCGGTAGACATCCAATCTCACAGGGCTCAAGTGTTGGGTGCCGAGGCCGCGGAGGCGCATGCCAACACAATTCCCACCCGCGTAGGTCACCCGACTTCGTAGGAGGAGGAGGAGGAGGAGGAGGGGGAGGAGGAGGAGGGGGAGGAGGGGGAGGAGGAGGAGGAGGAGAAGGAGGAGGAGGAGGAGGAGGAGGAGGAGGAGGAGGAGGAGGCCGCGGCGCGCGGGCGTGTCGGCGCCCCCGCGCCGCCCCCATTGCGACGGGCGGGTGCCCTGGCCCAGACCACGGCGCGTGACGCGCGGCGATCTCCGCGCCCCTGGGGGGGGCACAGACAGCCCCCGCGGAGCTCGGTGCAGCGGCCCCTGGGGGCGCCGCCGCCTGGCGCGCTCCCGCGTGCCCGGGTGCCCTCAGTGGCCCCCTCGCGGCCCAATGCGGCCCATCTAGTCGCCCTTCGTGGCCCTCAGTCGCTCGTGCCCTCAGTGGCCCCACTGCTGCCCTTCGTGGCTCCAGTGTAGCCCCGCGTGCCTCTCCCCCGCTGCCCTCAGAGGCCCCCTCGTTGCCCTTTGTGACAGGCGTGCGGGGACTGCGGGGGGGGGGCAGCACGGACCCAGAAAGTCCGCCCGGCACCTCCGACGGTTTGTGCTCACGCGCGATGCTGGTCGACAGAAGGCGGGGTAGAGAGGGACAGCACTGCGTAACTGAGGCGTCAACCTTCGGAACTCCGCGCGAATTCCTTGGATCGGCGCTGCACACCCTGCGAAATGCTTAAGAAATCATGGGTTAAGAAATTCATAGTCTCAGAACTTGAATAAAAACCCAACGTTTCCATTAAAATCTTAAGCTTTGCATTGAGACGTTAAGAATAATCGAGACTATGGCCGAAAACTTAAGTTTTCTTAAGCATCGCCTAAGGTGTACCCGCTCCCCGGCGTGGGGAGGCGTGGAACCGGCGGCGCCCCCCTGGGGGGCCCACCGCCGAGGCAGGGAAATCTGCGCCGAGCTGCGACGAGCTGTGCTTATGCCGCTGATGTGGCAGAGGGGAAGGCGTCAAGAGGATGACGAGGGGGGAAGACATGGAAGTGGCTGACAAAGCGGGGTTCGTGGAGGCAGCTAAGGCGCCCTCTGGCGCTGAGGGCGGCCATGCGTGAAAAGGAGCTGCCCAGCGGCGGGGTAGAAACATTGGCTGCATGCGGCCGATGTCATGACCCCACCTTCGGTAGGAGGAGGAGGAGGAGGAGGAGGAGGAGGAGGAGGAGGAGGAGGAGGAGGAGGAGGAGGAGGGGGGAGGCGGAGGGGAGGTGGAGGAGGAGAGGAGGAGGAGGATGAGGAGGAGGAAGAGGAGCGAGCGAGCCGCAGGAGAGGCGTCCGAGTGACGAACACCAACCGCGTGTGAGACCTGAGAGCCACAGGGGTGGCGGAAGGCAGAAGCCTGGGAGAGGGTGGGGCGCCTCAGGAAAACCACACCCAAGAAAACCTCCCAGGCCCAAGTCCAAAAAGAAACACTAGGGGGCAGGGTTCGGGCCAGAACGCGCCGCTCCTGCCCCGCGCTGGCGGGGCTCCAGGCCACGAGTGATACGGTCGATCGCCGTGAGCTGGTTCGCCCTAGTCTTTGGATTCTCCGAGAAACCTTGGCACCGCGCCCGCAGCTTGCGGGCGGACCTGAAGGACTCGGACCCGTTGAAATTGCCACCGCACTTGCGGCAGCAATACACGGAATTAACACAGAAAACGTCATGCCCCAATTCAGCGAATTCGGCAAGCACAGGTTGGGGAACGTCGGCCGAGCCGCTGGCAGCAGACACCTGCTCCAGCGGCTGAGGAGGGACCGCGGGGAACTCCGAGGAGGCCTCCAAAGGCCGAGACGTGGGCCCCAACATCCTATCGGCCGCCTCGATGGCCGCCGTGACCCTAGAGTCCGAAACACTCAGCCACGCCTCAGAACTCCGCAGAAAGAAGTCCTCGGCAAGGCTCTGGACGAGAGGCGAGGGAGCACATACCCGATCAGCTCCCGAGCGAAGAGTCTGGAGGGTACTCGCACTCCGAGCGACACGATTGCACCGTCGACACCGATACCCTGACATCCTCTGGCAGAAGAGCAACTCGTGGTCCTGGGGCCTCTCGAAAACCACGCGCTTGGGCACCTGGGCGAGCTCTGGGTCCTGCTCCACGACAGGGTCAGCTCCCCACCTCCGAAACTGCACCACCTGGAAGGCCGCCCAAGACACATAGTGCAGGACCTGCCTGTGCTGCTTCAGCCCAGCTGCCAAACTGTCAGCCAGTGTCTTTGACACCATATGCGCAGCGCTGCCACACTTCGCGAAGAAGTCGGCCCAGGCATTGCCGACGTAGGCCTCCAGCTCGTCTGGCGTGGCCGACCCGATGATGTCCTCCAGCTTCCTGTGAGCTGGAGTCCACTGAAACCGCACTGGTGGCAGACGTGGATCGCGTGCTCTGGCAGCCGAAAAAAATATCTCTCCAGACTCGGGCGTGCTTCGCTTTGCCAAACTCAAGCCTCTGGTCCCAGGACGCACCCTCCTCCACGAGCGATTTCAGATCAGAAATGAAAGCCTCATGCCCAGGATGCCTCTGAAGTCCCATCTTGATGGCATAGCGCTCAGCACGTCCTACTGTCTGCACATAGTAGGGCAAGGGCCCATCTACAGCTCTGGCGGGGAGCCACGTGACGGGGTCCAGCTGGCAGACCGACCACCCACACCTACGTACTTCAGGAATGCTGGCCGAGAACCCCGAACCGTCAGTATATGACGTAGGCCCCCAAGAGCCCGAGACATCTCCCCATTCAAAAGCCTCATTGGAGACCGTGGTGTAGTGCGGTACAGCAACAGGCTCGGGAACCCCATAGATCAGGTATCTCTGGTCCCAGTCGGTGCACCCCAGCATCTGCCCAGACGCCTGAAGCATGCCACGAACCTCCTGAAGCTGTTCTGGAAACTCATAATACTCCTGGTCGGGGTCCCCATCGAGGAGCGGCGGGCAGTCGTAAAAGATATGGCCCCAACAGGAGTCGATAGCCTTGCCGCAGGCCTGACATGGCCTAATGGGCCTCCCGTGCTTCATGTCCCGACGCGGTGGGATGGGAAGGTTGTCAGCCCACAAAGCCTGCAGCGCTCCGAGGCGCCTGTGACACTTTATCTTGGCGAGCGCGTGGCGTAGCGCACGATGCCACACGTCCGCCTGCTCGGTGTAAAAATGCTGCTGCAACCTATGGTGCTGCCAGCGCTGAATGCCTTGATGCAGGAACACTCGTAGGTCTGCTGGACATATACGATATAAATCAAAACTGTTTCCCAAATCGTCGACCAGGATGTGCTCTGACGACATAGTCCAGGATATGCGCCTCAAAGTAAGCCAAGTGGCCCCGAGGGGCCCACGCGCCTTGGCCCAGGAAGGTGAACTCTCAAACTTAGCACCCAGACGTACCCAAGCCTCCCGAAGTCTGCTAGGTTGCACTCGCCCGTCCCAGATCCAGGAGGCGTATTTGAGCACAATGTCCGTGGTGGCGTTATATATGGGGTCATAACATTCATCCCGATGAGATATGAGATACGCTGTTACACCAACCATCGTCTTACCTGGAGCACCATTTAGGACTGCAGCACAATGTCGCAACTCACGAAGAGCGCTGTCGCTAACTCCAGCAACTGCACCGCCATGCGCCACTGATGGAAGGGCGCCCGTGCGCCACAAGCTGGTAGCACTCCGCCCCACGGCGGACTTCAACATGCGAAAACGATGCTTGCGCTCTCGAAACTGCACCAACCTACGCTTCTCCATATGCCGGAGAACTCGAGGTCCTGTGAGCTCGTGTCCCAGATTCCTCATGTGGGCCCTGTACGGGATCTTCAAGGTTCCCAGGTGCCTCTTGAGCTGTCCCCAAACCTTTTGGTTCCCAGGGATACATCCAGACTTCGGCGGCTTCAGGACCATCCCAAGATCTCCTGCATCCGACGTGAACGCCTTGGCCGCTCGGGCCAGGTTGGACACCTCCCTCAATACGGGCGACACGTACTGCAGACCCACATCGTCCATGAGCGTGCGTGGCGTGATAGTAGGTGCAATACTGGCCGTGCGCTGGACCGCTCGGTACGTGAGGAGGTATAGAAGGTACGTGGCGTGCGTGCAGCCCGCAAGAATACCCTGATGGGCCACCAAGGGCCTAGATACATACCCAAAACACTTGATCCTTCTCGGCTGGCGGTAGGAGCCCAGGAGCAACCACAGGAGCCTCAGCGGGTACCTGAGCTCTCTAGCTTCTCGGAGAAGTGCACTGTGACTGACCATATCGAAGCACTTGGTCATGTCCAAGAGAATGGTGCATGTGTGCTCACCTAAAAGTTCTCCTATCTCCTGGCTCAGGTTGTGGTCGAAGGCTGAATCGGTCGAAGTCTGCCCAGCCCTTGACCCCCACATATGCTCGCACCTATGCGCCTCTTGCCACTCCGCCGAAAGCGGCCGACGTAGCTTTCCCCACAACCTGACGAAAGTATTGCTGAGGACGATCAACCTAGTGTCCCCGTCAGGCTTGGGCAGGCGAACAAGCTCGCTGTAGAGCCTGTCCGTGGGCCAGGCCAGCCAACTCTCAAACATCATGAACATATCGGCCAGGCTCTGCAAGGCCTGGTCGGACAACACATCGAGCGTGCGTGGCGCGATCCTCGTCTGGCCCGAGGCCGTCTTCAACGGAAAACTCCTGATGGCTCCACGCACCTGCGATGCAGACAAAGGCGGAAGCAAAGGCCACTGAGCATGATCGACAGGCAGCGACAGAGAACACGCACCGTGGTAAGTCCAAACGTCCTTCCACTTGTCGAGCGTGCGGTCAGCCATCTGGTATGGCTGAGCGTCGTGGGAGTAGGCAAGCACCTCCTGTCGAGCCCGAACTTTGGAGGACGAATGCGCCCGAGATGCTCCTCCCAGGAAGGCTTCTTTGGCCCGCTGCCTCCAGGCCCTCTCTGACGCTCTTTGTGCCGTTCTCAGATGATGATCAGCTCTGGCAATGATTGCCTTGGCTACGTCCTCAAAGTCAGCCTCGACCAAGCCAGTCAGCCCCCGCCGAAAGATGCCTGCGAAGGCAGCATCCAAAACACACAGCACATGCTCTGACCGAGCCGCGCGTCTATAAAAGGCAGCCACCTCGTTGAAAGCCACGGCGACCTTAGTGTACTGCAGCGGCGTGATGTCGCACACGGCAGCACAGAGCTTGAGGCGCTCGATGTACCTCGCCAGCCGCTTCTTCTCAGCCACAAGGTGCTGGGCCCATCGCTTCGCCGTGGCCCAGGCCAGCACGGTCGGCTCCTTGTAGGTACGCCTGCGTGGCGGCTGCCATGACAAGTGCTGCCACTTGAACTGCGGCGGCCCCTCGCGTCCGATGTACTGCGTGGCCTTAGCGCCCGCGCAGTCGTAACGCCCTGCCAGCTCGTAGTCCACCCCTCGCAACACGGAGTCCCAGAGCGGGCTCAGATCGTCGGCACAGCTGACCCGTTGGACCTCTGTCTGAAGTCTATGCCACGGGTAGGGATATCTAGCGCAGCCACCTGGCGGCACCACCGCAAAGGGACGTGGCTCCACAGGGACACGGCACCACGTGGGGCGATCCTCGCCCATGAGCTGCAGCTCCACAGGGAAATGCGGCGGCGGCACGACCGTGGAGTCATACTGGACCTCTGGCTTGCCCTTGATGCGAGACGCTAAATTGGCACAGACGACGAAATAGTCTATGATGCTCTTGCCCTCATCGGTGATGCAGGTGTGCTGGTCGGGCACGTAGTGGACGGCTGCCATGGTCTCGACCCAGTTGCGAACATTGAGCGCATCGATGTCGGAGTTCCAGTCGCCACCTAGGATCCAGTCGAGGCCCCGTGAGCTCCATGCTGCAACTCTCTGTGCCAAGGCCCACAACACCTCAATGTTCTCGCCCGATATGCCAATGGACGGATACACACTGGCGACTATGATGCCGCCAGCCACTCCCCAGTTAATCTGTGCACAGACTGCTCGTCCTGGGTAGATAATGTGCCCATCATCAGGTGGGGCTGTGACCATGATGTATGTCGGCACAAGTACAGCGACCCCTCCGAAGTTGGACGTAGCTGAGTCACCCGTAGAGGGCGACGGGGCCCATAGCCCGTGCCATCCAGCATCCAAGGCCCTGGCCTGAAACTCGCCAAGCCTAGAGTCGGTAATCCTCAACTCTTGTGCCAGCAAGATAGTTCCCCGATAGGTAGCCAAAAAGTCAAAGAGAGGGCCGTAGCTCGTAGCATTCACCGTTGTGATGAGGCCCTTGAGCTGCGGCTGAGATACTGCATGCATTGGCTGCACCTTCGCCTCCGTGCTCCCTGGCGGCAAAGGCGAGGTAGGTGCAGCGCGTTCTTGACTTGATTTCTCGAAGCGTAATCGGGAAGAAGGTGGGGACGAAGATGGCGCTTCATGAAATGCGCCTTCACACAGATCTGTTTCCATGTCAGGCTCAACGTCCTCAAAGAAGTCATGATCGTCATCCAAAGTAGTACACACTGGGCCCCTCTGGCCCGGTGGGGCCCCTGGCAGTCGGTACTCTCTGCCGCCTGGATTCTCCGAGGGCAAGGGCGGTGAGCGGTGCGTGCCGTCCGAAGACGGTCGGTACCCTCTGCCGCCACTCCCCGAAGGTGAGGTCGGTGAGCAGTGCGTGCTGCCAGGGGCCAACCGCGTAGGCGTAGACGGAGTAGCCCTCTGTGATGCCGTGGTCGCCCCAGACGGAGCTGCAGGCTCAACCGAAGTAGGCGAGGCCGCCGTCAGGGTCGGAGCTGTCCCCCACCCCGAGGAGCGGGCCAGTGGGGGGAATAATGTAGGCGCCGTAGTGCCAGCCGAGGTCATGGAACTAGACGCCGATGTGGGCAGGGGGGTGTGACGATGAGGGGCTGAATCCCTCTCCCCCCTGCCCAGAATGCTAGCCGCGGTCGAAGATGACTGAGGCGGACTCTCGACATGTTGCGCTGATGTAGAGCTGACCATGGTGACAAAGAGCCAAAGCAACAGCATATCAAGCCGAGCACATTCACGCCGACGTCTTGGCCTTCTTGGCCACAGTGTCCAAGTAGCTCTGCTGAAGGCGCTTGAACTTCTCACGCACGATGTCAGGGGTGTCGCTCTCTTCGACTTGGACCCCTGCTGCACCCAGCGTCTCACGGTACTCCTGCTCGGACATCTCGATGTCAGGTGGCTCAGCACAAGACTCATCACCATCCTCATCATCATGGGCAGGTGCAGGTTCTGGCGGCTTGGCCTGCGGCATATTCTGCAGCTTGCTGACCGTGTTGGCCATAGCTTGCAGCTCCTTGACCATGTCGGCGCCGAGACCGAGGCCCGATGCAACCTTGCCCAGCTGCTCCACGCTGGCGAGGAGGAGGAGGAGGAGGAGGAGGAGGAGGAGGAGGAGGAGGGGAAGGGGAAGGAGGAGGAGCAGGAGGGGAAGGAGGAGGAGGAGGAGGAGGAGGAGGAGGAGGAGGAGAACACGAGGGGTAACGGAAAAGAGAAGGAGGCTGAGGATGAGGACGAGGATGAGGATGATGAGGAGGAGGGGGAGGAGGAGGAGGAGGGGGGAGGAACACCCCTGCACCCGCCCCATCGTAACGAGAAGTGGCAGGCGGCGCGAGCCTGGGCGGCAGACGATGGTCCCAGCGGCTGCTGCGGCTGCGGCTGCGGCTGCGGCTGCTGCTGCCACTGCCACGGCTGCCGGGCGGGGTGCTCTTTTCAGCTCGGCCCCCGAAGCCAAGACGAAGGTCTGTCGGGGCGACGAAGACGCCGGGAGTCTCTGAAAGCCGGCAATCAGCTAGGGCTCCCAACTTCGCGCTTCGCGCTGCGCGAAGCGCGAAGCGCGAAGAACTTCGCGCTCTCGCGCCGCCCTCCCAAAGGGAGAATAGGAGGACGAGGAGGAGGGGGAGAAGGAACGAGGACCGCGAAGCGCGAATAACTTCGCGCCCTCGAGGGAGCCCTTGATCAGACAGATGTGCCGGGCGCCGCGGCCCTTCCAGAGCGCTCTGGAACTTCCTGACGGCACCGTGGAGCGATCATCTCCGGAGGCAACTCGTGGGAGCCTCCCACACCATCGTGCCGGCTCTTGCGAATCGACGCCAGTCGATGCCAAATCGACGCTAAATCGACGCCAAATCGAAGCTAATCGACGCTAACCGACGCTACATCCGCGCTGTCTCATCCGCTCCCAGATACGGATCGATGCAAATCGACGCTGAAGACACAATTACGAGGGTATACCAGGCTCCTACGATGTGCTACCGAGGATCATCTTGGTTTTTCATCCTAGGCCTGGCTGATCAGCGGGCCCAAAAGGCGACGCACTTGAGATGCAGGAGTGTCAACGCCACGCCCAGAGGTTTTCCCACGCGGTCAGGCGATAGATCCTTGAGAAGGACGGGGAGGGATGGCAGGCAGAGGAGACGAAGGCGGCACACATGAGCACAGCTCCTGGTGCAGACCGGAGAAGGAAAGAGATACAGGAAGACGAATCATGCGACCGGCTCGCTGAAATTTCTGAAATGGCTGGCTGCGTGCTAACCCTCCTTCTCGTCCTGCCCGTACTCCTTCTTCCCCTCCCACGTCCTCTTGCTCCTCGCGGGGGTATGATGGGAACGGGGTGGGGAAGTGTACGCACGCTGGGGAGAGGGGCGGAGGGAGATAAGTTCAGTGCTGATTGGGGGGGAGTCCGACGGTTCCAAAAGCTCCGCGTGGAAGAAGGAGGACAAACTGAAGCTGACAAAAACAAGGAACGCCAATAATGGAACGACAAGATGTCAGCACTTGGAGTCGACCTGGAAACATTGAAAATGTGGAGTCAATCCCTCAACCAATTGACAGCACGGGACGCCCCCACCGAATGCTCTGTGTCCTCCACCGCCATAGCATGTGCTACACACGCCGTGGCGCTAGAAATTGTGATCCCCCGGTCGGCGGGTAAATCGGGTGAGCAAACCAGGCATATCAACACATCTTCCGAAACTGACGAATCGGATGAATCTCACCAACGCTCTGGGCGTAAGTGGTTCAAGGCGCTTCTCTCTTCCGACTCCTCCTCTTTCCCTTCGAGGAGGGTCTTACCCCTCCCCCCACTTCCCTGGGGTCTGGACGATGTGTGGACCGCGAAAGACCAAACCCTCCACCCCATCTCCACCCCTGCTCATCCCGGTTCCATCCCGCCTCCACTTCCATCCCCCCCTCGGAAGTTCACTGAGAGCCCCCCGCCAAAGATCTTGCCAGCGCACCCTTGTTGCTCCTCTGCTTTCCCAGATGCTCATCTTCGCTCCTTCTCCGGACAACCTGCCTGGGCATCATGTAAGAATGGGCTGATGAGCAGCACCGAGGAGGAGGAGGAGGAGGAGGAGGAAGAGGAGGAGGAGGAGGGGGGGAGGAGGAGGAGGAGGAGGAGGAGGAGAAGGGAGGGGAGGAGGAGGAGGAGGAGGAGGGAGGAGGAGGAGGAGGAGGAGGAGGACCTCCTCCCGCGCCCCCTCGTTCTGCAGTGGTTGCGTGATAACCGATCCTTACCAAGAGCCAGTCTTGCCTATGTTTTACATGAACTGACGACTCGCTGCCGCTGTCCTCCTCTCCTCCTCCCTCCTCCTCCTCCTTCCTCCTCCTCCTCCTCCTCCCCTCCCCCTCCCCCTCCCCCTCCCCTCCCCCTCCTCCTCCTCCTCCTCCTCCTCCTCCTCCTCCTCCTCCTCCTCCTCCTCCTCCGTATGGCCTATGGATGAGCCACGTCTGCAGCGCAGAAGGGGGGGGGGGGACTGGGAAAGGGCATGCCGTGGTTGGCAAACAACCTCGACCCGAAGCTGTGGCCCCCGCCACCGCCGCGGCGACCCCCAAAAACAACACGGAGGTTCGGTTCGGGGTCTGATATCACGAAACGAAGCTTCTTCTTCTCCTCCTTGTCTCCCTCCCCCTCCAACGCCTCTCACTTCAACGTCACATCAAACTGAGTGAGAACGCGTTCCGTCAAACTTTTTGACGCTGCGCCAACTTCAATCCTCGGATTGTGCAATATTGTAAAACGAAAGTCATACTTTCGATGTTCGACACTAGTAAGGAAGGGCACAGCTTGTAAAGTCAAGCAAAGACACCCAGGTGGGCAAAGCGTAACGAAACCGTCGGCTGGGAGAGAAAAAGGGACCATCGTACACATAGCTTGATGTCGAAGAGGGAATGCTCCTAGAAGGAGAAACAACAACTGCATGAACAGAAACTGTTGGCGCTCCGCTCGTCTTCCGCCTCATTCATCTCTTCCTCCTTCCCCTCCTTCCTCCTTCCCCTCCTCCTCCTCCTCCTCCTCCTTCCTCCTTCCTCCTTCCCCTCCTTCCCCTCCTTCTCCTCCTCCCCCTCCTCCTCCTTTTCCTCCTCCTCCTCCTCCCCTTTCCCCTCCGCCTCATCGACCCTTCTGCCTTCGACCTCCTCCTGCGCGCCCGCCTCCCGCCTCGGCGGAGGTGTGCTTTGGGGCTCACTCCTGGGCATGGCCCCCCTCCCTCCTGCTGAAGGCAACTTGCCTGGGCCTCGTCTGGGGATGCGCTGGTGGGGGCACGTGAAGCGTCAAGGGCTTGAAAACTGGAGCACCTCGTACAATCGACCCGTACAAGAAGGACGCGCGATGAGGATGCAAGGGCCTTGGGAGGCCATGTCGACACTCGGGGAGAGCGGGGCGCGGCCAGCGAAGGCGGCCAAGGATGGGCTCAAGGGGACAGATGCAAGGGCAACCTTGAAGGTCACTCTTCCTTACCCTATGCGGGTTGGCTGTACAGTGGAGGCCAGTCCACAAGACACCCAACCCTGAGACCCTAGGGCGTCCATTGACTCTTGGTGTGGGAAGCCTCGCGCTTTCCACAGCAAAACCATCGAACCCCAAGAAAGCCAGGGCACCCCAGAGGCAAGCAGGGTGCTCTTTGCGTGGGCCCCCACTGGAATCTTAGAAAGTCACCCATCCTTTTCCCTGTGCGGGTTGACCGCACTCAGCAGGCTAGACACTCCCTGCGTGCACGCGACTGGCGAAGGTCTGCCGCGAGGAGGGCGGTCGCAAAGGACGGCTCTCCGGCCGGAGGCCGCCTGCTGCATCATCAGCATCTGCTGCTGCTGCATCTGCGGGGCCGGGGGCGAGCGGCAAAAATCTCGCGCGGGGGCGGGAGGCCTCGGAGTCCCGCCGCGCTCCGCGGCGAGGGAACACGAGGAGGGGGGGGGGCCATGGGAAGTGGTTCCTGCCGCCTCCCCGCCGAGGCGAGGCTTGCATGGTCGTACGGTGGAGGCCCGACCACGAGAAGCCCTCCGCGAGAAACCCAACCCTGAGACCCAAGGGCGTCCATGGATTTTTGGTGCGGGAGCGTCGCGCCTTCCACGGCAAAGCCATCGAAACCCAAAAAACCCAACCCAAGAAACCCAGGGCACCCTGGAGGCAAGCAGGGCGTGTCTTGGCATGGGCCTCCACTGCAGGCGCGAAGCGGAGGGTTGAGCCCGATGCTGAGATCCACCGCTCGGCGCTGTCCTTGACGAGACGTCGGCATGCTGCACCAGGCATGCACGCGCGCGTGCATGAACTCGTACGCTGAACACGAGTTTGTACCATCCAATGCGAGCGAACGCGTGCACGGGCATACGCGTTAACGCGCAAACGCACACGCACTGCCGCACGTATACTCACGCGCATAAGGAATTATCCCCGCAGAGCAACCTACCATCGATGTGTAGAAGCACAGCTGGAAACATTGCCTGTGGTATTCATGTAAGAGCGTCGTTGTAGAATTATGGTGTTCTCGCAGTCGCATTCGGGTTCGCAGTGGCAGTCGCAGTGGCAACATCAGCGGCAGTCGCAGTGGCACTGCCAGTAGTTGCAGTAGCAATAGCTACGCTAGCAACAGCAACAGCAGCAGCAGTGATAGTAACAGTAGTAGTAGCAGTAGAAGTAGTAGTGACGGTAGTAGTGGTGACAGTGAAGTAGTAGTTGTAATGTGTGGAGCGAACGAGTAGGAGTGATGGGAGCAGTGGTAGTAGCAATAGACACACGGCTTTCGGTAACGGTATCTCCAAATAAGATCTTTGGATAAATGCATTGAGGTTTGGTCAACTTGTTTTCGGCCCGTTTTTGTCCGGACGTTCCTTTATTTCGCTTCGGTATCCGGCCGAATTGCTTCGCGTGCTCGACGAGCGTTCGCAGAGGACCGCTCAATGCAGCACGCTGAGGAGCAGCGCTGTTCCCTGCCGCAGGCTGAGGAGCACCGCTGTTCAATGCAGCAAGGTCAGGAGCACCGCCGCCAAACCGAAAACTATCAGCATGTCCTGGCATTAAGGTGCGCAGTAGGCGCTGCGCAGTTCCTTTCAAAGGAAATCTTCGAAAGCAGGGCTGTAGCCAAGAAGGCTACGGGGAGGCTGATGAAGATGATGAGTCTGTGACGCTGTGAGACCACAGACGCTTGATGATGACGATCTTGAGAGTGCTGCTTCGAGGAAGGAAAGAAAGAAGGAGAGAGAAAGAGAGAGAGAAATGGGATCGAGAGCTCCCGGAGGGGGGGGGGGCCCATCCGAGGGAACGGTGCACCCCCCCCTCCTCAGTGCTGGCGACGAGGATCAAGCTGTTTAGGGAAAGAAAAAGACCCCACCTCCCCCTATCCTCCCCCGCGGCCTGAGTGGACCACCCAGGCCTGCGGAGGACGTCAAAAAGGGTCGGGTACCCAGTACAGAAATGAAGGGAGAAGGGGGAGGGAGGAAAGGGTAAGGAGCCTCCTTCGTCCTGCTCCTCCTGTTCCTCCTGTTCCTCCTGCTCCTCCTACTACTGCTACTACAAGTATTAGATTCTGGCGGAAACGTCCAATGCACGATGACGCCTGGGTCCGCCGTCTTGCCCTGCACGATGACAAACACAACAAACCGGCAATCGGGTGGCGAGAGATATGACGGGGACATCCAATAAGCAAAATGTTGCCCGAAGAACACGAAGTGGCCTACAGTTGGCTCCGGGCATTCAAAATGTAGCCCGGGAGTTGAATTCTCGAAAATCGAAGAGCACGAAGTGGCTTACAGTTGGCTCCGGGCATTCAGAATGTGGCCCGGGAATGGAGTTCTGGGAGGTCGAAGAGCACGAAGTGGCCTACAGTTGGCTCTGGGCATTCAACATGTTGCCCCGGAATTGAGTTTTGGATAAGCTAAGAACACGAAGTGGCCTACAGTTGGCTCCGGGCATTCAGAATGTGGCCCGGGAGTGGAGTTCTGGGAGGTCGAAGAGAACGAAGTGGCTTACAGTTGGCTCCGGGCATTCAGAATGTGGCCCGGGAATGGAGTTCTGGGAAGTCATAGAGCACGAAGTGGCCTACAGTTGGCTCCGGGCATTCAGAATGTGGCCTGGGAATGGAGTTCTCGGAGGTCGAAGAGCACGAAGTGTGTGACTGTTTGCGAAAAACGAATTCGGACCCAGCTCCCAGGATGCCGCCCGGACCCCGCTGTGGAGTCATCAGCTGCTCTCTTTTGACCCCACTAGAAACCTATCAGTCTTCGCTGTTAGGTAGAAACACACACACACACACACACACACACACACACACACACACACACACACACACACACACACACACACACACACACACGTGAGCGCAAATGCTGATCATCGCCCTCACTCGCACCCATACGCAAACGCGTGCCAATCAACCTTCGTGTTACACAAAGCGGATCGAATACTTAGGCTGAACCAGTGCTGTCATCCTGCATGCCACCAATATTCGGTCAATGCCTGTGGTCGGCATGTGTCTAATCGGTGGTGTGCATGGCGTCAGCAGAAGTCGCGAACGTATGCGAGAAGCGCCTCCAATGCCTGGAAGCTTCTCTGCCATACCAGTATCCAATATCATGCATCACCCTTCTTTTTTTGTTCCGACGGAGACGCATCAGCCTGGAGCGCACTTGTCTGGTCGATTGCCCACGGGTGCGCACGCAAGGCGGAATGAAATTAACGATCGCCTCCGCGGTCGACAGAAACAAGCTGCACTGGCGGGGTCTCGTGCAAGAGACACAACCGCCTCTCGCGCCAGAGACACAACCGCCTCGCGCGCACTTATCTGGTCGATTGCCCAAGGATGTGCGCGGAAGGTGGAGCGACCAGCTCTTGGAAATCAAGAAATGCCTTTGAAACATTCATTGGGCTAATTAACCGCAGGCGGGCGACACCTGCAAGCCAGCATTGCAGCCTGACGCCCCTTGGGGCGAACGGCACACATACTGAGGCGCCGACCAATCCCCTTTCTGAATACTCGAACGCCAAGGATGAAACTCCGCCACCCTGTCGCAGGCACGTTGGTGCCATGTGAGAACGCTTGCTGGCTTTCGGGAACACATTGTGCCTGTTGGTCTAACAGTCACAACCGCACACACACGCACAGGCAAGCGCATTCTTCGTTTCTAAGTTCGGTCAGTTCCAATTCCGGCCACGAATTAGAGACAAGAGGTGCCGACTGGATGGGGTCGGCAGCGTTGTGAAAAACGGATGAGAAATAAGCGCTCTGTACGGGCCAAAGCTGCCCCTCACGTCACACATGCAACAAATCACAATCACAATGACAGCGTCGGTGCCCGACGTTGACGTCCCTTGCGGACGAAGACAACGTCCTCCAGCATCAAAAAGATCCTTTGACCAATGGCCGCTCCGCCACCGTCACCCTCTGGTGGGTCTTCGAATGATGGTAATTTGAACTTTGCGTTCGCCGATACTTCGAGGACGTTCGGGCCCATGTGAGGCAGCTCTAGGCGGATACGGAATGGCTGTGCATCCAGAATATCACCCTGCACAAGGTCTGCATCACGAGCATCAAGCAGCTCGTTGTAGGCCGTGTTCGCCCAACGCATAAAGTCGGCACGATTAATGACCCACTGCAGCAGCCTTGGGCCATCCAATATAGGTCCACACAAACTCAAGAAATCGGGTGAGCACCACAGCACGGGCAAACAAGTCTGCTCTGCGTCAATCAGAACAGCCATCCCAGTGCTCGGGGGGTCGATCAGCAGACCAGAGGAATCAGACGTCGAGACACTGATACAACTCTCTGGGATGCTTGCGAAAACGTCTGAATTCTGTGACTCTGGCTTGTGGCGTAACGCGCCTGGACGCGCCACCGGCGGCTCTTCCGAATCATCCTTCACACCCACGATGTGGATAAACTCGTCGTGTATGTCAACGCCCCGGGCGTGAAAGAGCTCGACTTTTACCGGCATGCCCCATGAATCCCTAAAGGACATGTGGAGGCTGTAGGTATCGGATATGGGCCGCTCCAAGAAACGAATCAGACGCTCTCTCTCAGTGGCATCAAACGCTAGATTGGAAAAGTGGACTCCCGCCGCCACATCGCTAGATGATCTTAGGAGCAGGGCGGCAAGGGGTGCGCAAGGCTTTGAGAGCTGAAGCTCTTTCGAGAGATGTACCACTGCATCGCATACACTTGACAGCAGCCCGTCCGCTGTAGACTCGAACTGTCGTGACGCCTTGGCCTCCAGAATTGCCAAAAACTCTGAATCGCGAGACCGTGCGACGACGGCTGCTGAGATGCTAACCAACAATGAGACAAGCAATTCCTGACGTGCGTCTACAGGGTCACACCACGGCGAGAAAGCTGAGACAGCTGCGACGTACACACTGCCAAGCGACAAGGACACCATGGGCTTTGCATGTATCAAACTCAACATAAAACGAAAACATATTCTCACGCGGCTCGCATTCAAGTGCTCAATTCTGGATGTGGTAACGACCGCAATAATGATCAGGGTTACATATATACAGAAGTGGTAACAGAAAAAGACTCTCGGGGTCATCCAATCTGGTCTGACGGCGCCCACAATACCAAATATTCCAATTGCTAAATTCAAGTAGTGCGTGAGCTGGGACTTATCATCTTGATACAACTGAATTGAATTGTAACAAACGGCTGCAAACAGAACCCAGGGACACGCCCAAACAACTTCCTCCTGAAGTCGCGTGTCTGCCATACCCTTCAACTGATGATGCAACGGGTGCGGTGGTGTCATGCAGAGCACCCATTTCTTCGTGGCATGGAACGAATGAAGCATCGAGCCCAATCGTGGTAAATGGGCACCTCGACAAGAAGCGC